CATTCTTTACCTTGAAACCATATCACAGTAACAAGCCCAGATTTGCCTGCTGCAGAATGACATACTATATGGAGCAAAGACAAGCTCACATCTTGGCCAATCCTAGACCAGCCAGTCCCTAGCTGACCTACCAGCTGACCACAGACCCATGAGTGAACCTAGCCAAGACCAGAAAATCTTGTTCCCAATCAGCAGAACCACCCTGTCATCCCATAAACTCATAAGAAGTAATAAATGTGGGGCTGGGCACAGTGGCTGATGCCTGTAATCCCAGCACTTTGGGAGGTCGAGGCAGGCAGATCACAAGGTCAAGAGATGGAGAACATCCTGGCCAACCTGGTGAAACCCCATCACTACTAAAAATACAAAAATTAGCTGGCCATGGTGGTGCGTGCCTGTAGTCCCAACTACTCGGGAGGCTGAGACAGGAGAATTGCTTGAACCCAGAAGGCGAAGGCTGCAGTAAGCTGAGATCATTCCACTTCACTCCACCCTGGCGCCTGGCAACAGAAAGAGACTGTCTAAAAAAAAAAAAAGAAAAAAAAAAGAAGTAATAAATGTTTACTGTTTTAGGCTACTAAAATTGGGGTTTGTTACACAGCAAAAGCTAACTAGTATATGTGAGAAATGCAATAAAAGACTTTATGTAGTGGAAGTAAAGCATCCTAAAAAGGTATAATTCATTCACGCCCTCAAATTTCTGTGTTTCATATCCTAAATCACTACTGATGATTATAGAATGTTTTTAATCTGTGTATCTGAGTAATCTTCATTTAAAAGACTGATGTGTGACCTGAAGTCCTTTCTACAATGAATAGAGCAATAAAGAAATAGAGAAATCAAATAGCAAAATAAAGAATTTTGCTGTGCTGTTCTAGACACAGCTGCCCTAATAGAGAAATGTGCAGTTTCTACTTTCCTTGCAGTTTTTCAGTACAGAATTACTTTAAAATAAATCCCAATGAAAGCAGTAATCAATTATGTCAAGAAGAAAACAAAGTTTGATCTGAAAATACTAACAGAATCTAACATTTTAGAAATAAATTACCATGTCATGTCCTGTGGCAACATTGTATCAAATTGCTTAAAGATAAATTGTATAATCAACTCCTGAGTCTCTGCATGTGGCTTATTCTTTTTGTAGATTATCAAAGGCAAACATTTAATTTCAGGTTTTCATCGCTCTTTTTCTCCACATTTTTTTCCCTTTATATTTTTCTACTAGCTTTCTTTCTATTATCAGTCACAGTATGCTAAAAAGAACAGAAATTTAGTGAACACAATGATAATTCACTTACTCTGTTTCCTAGAAGAATAAGGTGTTCAATGTAAGTAAATTTCAGAGTAAGCCTAAAAGTTATCCAAACACCTTTGCTTTAAAAGAAAAACAAAAAAACAAGCCTGTGACCATTCTGGTATAAATATTTCTAAAATGTATTTTATATTTTCCTTTCTTATGAAAGAGTGTTCTTCATTCCTTAAATAAATCTTTATTGTACAAGATGCTTTAACAGATTTAAAAGGATGCAAAGAACCAGGCACGGTGGCTCACACCTGTAATCCTAGCACTTTGGGGGACCGAGGCAGGTGGATCAAAAGGTCAAGAGATTGAGACCATCCTGGCCAACATGGTGAAACTCCATCTCTACTAAAAATACACAAATTAGCTGAGCATGGTGGCATGTGCCTGTAGTCCCAGCTACTAGGGAGGCTGAGGCAGGAGAATCTCTTGAACCCAGGAGGGGGAGGTTGCAATGAGCTGAGATGGAGCCACTGCACACTGTAGCCTGGTGACAGAGGGAGACTCCATCTCAAAAAAAAAAAAAAAAAAAAGGATGCAAAAGTGAATCAAAACAGTATTCCAACCTCAAGTGCCTTATAATTGAAGGAGATAGGATGGATAATAATTAGACATGTACACAGATGATTCTAGCGGTAAGAATCATAAGAATGGCAAAGACAAAGCAATAAGTAAATTAAAATAAAATGTTGAGTTTCTTTAATGACACTATACAAGGTTTTGTTAGGCTGGATCTTGAGGGCAAATGAGCTGGAACTAGGGTGAAGCAAGTGAGGCACTTGCCCCAGTGCAAAATTTAAGGGGATACCGAAAAACTCAGTAATCAAGATACACCGTATTTTGGTGCATCATTTTAAAAATAAAAATTAATCAAAAAATATTCATGATAAAAAAAATCAAAATTTTAAATAGACTGGATCAATAACAGTACCATGCAGAATCACGTTAGAGCCTGAGACAAAAGGAGAGATTAATAAAAACTTATTTGGGTTGATGACTAGAAAAGCCCACTAACTAGAAACTTATTTTTAAAATTAGTCTACTGTGAAAAAATAATGGTCCACTTCAAGGTATTATAATATTTGTCATTGCTTGCCTCTTTCTATAACTTTGTGTGCCACACCCTGAGCAGAATATTGAGGAAGTAGATTACATGCTATGACATCTTGCTGATAGGAGCAGATGCTGGCCTCATGCACTTTTTCTCTTAACCAATCAGGATTTAGATGGAATCTGAAAACTGATCCCAACCATAAAGTTGTAAATCTGAATATTGGGTCAGAATTATACTGCTCTAACAATTACATTAATGCATTTTCTTCTATACTTTCTGCCAGAGACACCTCTCTCTCTAGACAGCCTAAAGTATGCGTCTGCCTTGTGGGGAATTAGGATTGCTAAACAGGAATGCAAAGAGAAAGAAAGTTGTAATTTGACTTCTGGTTTGGACAATAAGACTCAAATATGCAGCAAGACTTAAAAAAGAAAAGGCATTTATAAGTTCCCTTATTTCCCTCCTTTAATTTATCCAAAGAAGAGCTGACTAAAATAGAGTGTTCTCCATAGGATAAGTACCCTGTCTATCTTTGGCCAAGGATGTGGGGCTTGATGCCTTAGGTAAGAAGGGTATGATACATAGAAAGTGAAATGTCCAACATTTGCTGATTCTGACACAAAGAGATTTAGGGAGGAGAGAAACAAAAAAGGAAACAGACAAGCTTTTCTCTGAAAATGGCAAGTTTCAGAGTTGAGGAAAATGAAAACACCAGAGGGGGATTTTCCAAATTCAATTCTAAGGAGCAGGAAAGCCCCATCTTTTCATTTCAGTTCTCAAGTTGGGACTACCTTGGGAAATAACAACACTACAACATTCTCCTTCAGGGTCAGGCTGACTTTCCTGACATTGTACCATTGCTTGGCTGGCTCCCTGTCCATGTCCAGCTTCTTCTATTCTCTCTCTCTCAATCTCTCTCTCTCTTTTTTTTTTGAGAAGGAGCCTTGCTCTGCCACCCAGGCTGGAGTGCAGTGGCACAATCTTGGCTCACTGCAACCTCTGCCTCCTGGGTTTAAGCAATTCTGCTGCCTCGGCCTCCCAAGTAGCTGGGATTATAGGCATCCACCACCATGCAAGGCTAATTTTTGTATTTTTAGTAGAGACAGGGTTTCACCATGTTGACCAGGCTGTTCTCAAACTTCTGACCTCAGGTGATTCACCCACTTTGGGCTCCCAAAGCACTAGGATTACAGGCATGAGCCACAGTGCCTGGCCGCTTCTACTATTCTCCTACTGGATCTATTTGTTACTCTTGCTCTTGTTCTTTTTGAGCTGCTTGAGATGAATGCCCAATGTATTTATTTTTATTCTTTTCAATGTAATAACATTTAAGTCTATGAAATTTCCTCTGAGTGCAGTTATGATGTAATGCTGTGAGTTTTAATATACTATTCATACAGTCTTATGTTTCTACATATTCTATAATTACCATCTTGATTTCCTCTTTGACCTAAGAGGTAAGTTGGGAGACTATTTTATAATGTTCAAGTGTTGAAGTTTCTATTTGGTTAAGTATCAATAGATATGAAAACACGTCCCCATAAAAGCCTGTAACTGAATGTAGCAGCATTATTCATAATAGTCAAAAAGTGGAAACAATCCAAATGTCCATTACTGATGAATGGATGAAACAAAATGTGGCAGCCAGGGGCCTTTGAAAAAGTATAGAAGTCGGCTGGGCGCAGTGGCTCACATCTGCAATCCCAGAACTTTGGGGGACAGAGGCAGGAGGATCATGAGGTCAAGAGATGGAGATCATCCTGGCCAACATGGTGAACCCTGTCTCCACTAAAAGTATAAAAATCAGCCAGGCATGGTGGCGTGTGCCTGTAATCCCAGCTACTCAGAGGGCTGAGGCAGGAGAATTGCTTGAACCTGGGAGGTGGAGGTTGGAGTGAGCCAGCATCACACCACTGCACTCCAGCTTGGCCACAGAGCAAGACTCAGTCTCAAAAAATAAATAAATAATAAATTTTTTAAAAATGAAAGGTGCCATATCCATATAATGAAATATTATTTGGCAATAAAAAGGTAGGAAGTGTTGATATGTACTATAACATAAATGGACCTTGAAAACATTTTCCTAAGTGAAACATGCCTGTTACAAATTACCACATATTGTAGGGTTTCATTTATATAAAATGTCAAGAGCAGGCAATTCCGTAAATAGAAAAAATAGATTAGTGGTTGTCAAGTCTGGGGGAAGGTGGGAATGTGGGGGTAACTGCTATTGAGTATGGGGCTTCTTCTTGGGATGTTGAAAATTATACAATTAGACAGTGGGTATGGTTACACAACTTTGAGAATTGCTTGAACCCAGGAGGCAGAGGTTGCAGTAAGCCGAGATCACGCCACTATACTCCAGCCTGGCCACAGAGCAAGACTCAGCCTCAAAAAAGATAAATAAATAAAAAATTCATTTCTTCTTGGGATACTAAAAATCACTGAATTGTAAACCTTAAGAGTGAATTTTATATGACATAAATTATATTTCAAGAATGCTGTTATGTAAACACAAAAAAATACTGTTGTAGCACAAATATTTAAAAATTAGTTTATCCTATATTCATGTAATCTGAAGAAAGAAGTTGCCAGAAAAAAAAAACCATATAGCTGGAGAACATTTTTTTGACATTTTTTGACAGAATTTTAAAAAATATAACATACATACATAAAATTGCAGAAATTATGTGAACAACTTGTTAATGGGGCAGAAATGCAAATACATTACTAAGATATCTAATAAAATAATTTGGGCCAAGGTGTTAAGAACAGAAATAGTCCAGCCATTGCTCAGTGAGGTGATATCCTGGGACTTCTGCCTTGGGCAAGCAGTGAAGGCAAGAGGGAGGAGGTCATCCAGTCATGAATACATGAGGCTTAATTTCCAAGAATATACACAGAACTCCTGCAACTCAACAACGGAAAGACAAACAATCCAATTAGAAAATGGGCAAAGAACTTGAACAGACATTTCTCCAAAGAAGATATACAAACCTCCAATAAGCACAAAAAATACTTAATATAATTAGTTATCAGGGAAATGCAAATCAAAATGACAATGACATACCACTTCACATTTATTAGGATGGCAATAAACAAAAAAACAAGAAAATAACAAGTGTTGGCAACCATGCAAAGAAATTAGACCATCATAGATTGCTGGTGAGAATGCAAAACAGTAAAGCCACTATGGAAAACAGTTTAGCAGTCCTTCAAGAGATAATCAGAATTACTATAAGACCCAGCAATTCCACTTCTAAATATATACACAAAAGAACTGAAAACAGGAACTCGAGCAGATATTTGTATGACAAGGTTCATTGCAGTATTGTTCGCAATGGCAAAAAGAGAAAACAACCCAAGGGTTCAATGACAGATGAACGGGTAAACAAAAAATGGAATACATCTCATATCTATACAATGGGGATTATTAATCCATAAAAATGAATGAAATTCTGACACATGCTACAACATAAATGAAACTTTAAAACGTTATGCTAAGTGAAATGAGCCAGACACAAAAGGGCAACTACTGTAAGACTCACTTATATGAGATATCTAGAATGGGCAAATTCACAGAGATAGAAGGTGATTTGAGGTTACCAGCAGCTGGAGTGGAGTGAGAGGAAAATTGAAAGTTACTAGGTACAGAGTTTCTATTTAGGTTTTCAAATTTTTTCTTTTCTTTTCTTTTCTTTCTTTCTTTTCTTTTTTTTTTGAGACCAGGCTGGAGTGCAATAGTGCAATCTTGGTTAACTGCAACCTCCACCTCATGGGTTCAAGCGATTCTCCTGCCTCAGCCTTCTGTGTAGCTGGGATTACAAGTGCCCGCCACCACACCCAGCTAATTTTTTTAAAATTTTTCTTAGAGATGGGGTTTCACCATGTTGACCAAACTAGTCTTGAACTCCTGACCTCAGATGATCCACTTGCCTCCCAAAGTGCTAGGATTACAGGCATGAGCCACCGTGTCCAGCCAAATTTTTTCTCTTTTTTTTTTTTTTTTTTTTTTTTTTTTTGGAAATAGATACTGGTGATGGTTGCACAACATTGTGAATTCATGCCACATAATGTAAAAATGATTAATGCCACATAATGTAAAACTGGTTAAAATGGCAGGTTTTATGTCTTTTACCACAAAAAAATTTAAATCCATGAAGCCAACAACTTCATTTACTATCTTCTCTAAATTTCCATTGTCAGACAAATGTCACTGAAATTAATAGGAAATGTGCAGTTCCTATTGATGGGCACAAGGAATGGATTATTAATCTATGCTAAAGGCCAAATAAAATGTTATATAATATAAATATTACCACCATATGGTATTAGTTTACAGGACACTTTACAGACCACTTTGAATTCCGTATCAGGCTTTACAGACCACCCATCTAGAAGAAAATGTATTATGGAACATAGATGCTCTGATTCTAAAAAGATGAATTTCCATTTCCCTTCTGATTTAATTACAATTCTCTTTTAGACAATCTTATAATATGTGGATTTATTAGAGCTGAGATTAGTTTTCGAAAAGAAAATAAACACAGGAGGTAATGTGACCTTTGAGTAAAAATTCAATCTAATTGGTTATTGTTCATAATTACCATCTTAAAGGAAAAACCCACAAGTTCTGACTCTCTCATGTTTTTATATTATTAACCAGGTCATCATAATATATATTATTTAGATACTGCCAAAGATTCCAGTAAAATTTTGAAACATGGGAATACAGGTAACATTTTTTTGAATCACTGGTCTTTTTTGATGATGAATATATATTTGATCATGCAAAAAATGTATTTAGCAGCCTATTAGAAATTCAGATGCAGAAATTCTTTTCATATGATCTGTAGAAATGGACTAATACAGATAATATGAACAGAGAAAGATAAAAGACATCACGTTGTATATTCAATAATCCACTACTCAAAGATAAAGTTTTCTAATAACCATTAAAATGAAATCAAAGAATATATAAATTTTAATTTAGCATAGCATTGTATTACATCATAGCTTATGAGAGGTTTCCAAGGAATCTAGCAACAGATAGATTACTAGTCACTTACTAAGAATTTGGAAATCCCAAAGGTACAGAAAACTTTATTGCCTCAAAAAGATTTTTTTTAAAAAAGAAGTTACATTCCCAGTCATAAAAACCTGATAAAGAACTGTTATAAACTTAGGCACTTCTGAATAAAACTGCAGTTAAGAAAGCCAATTATTTTCATAGGGAGAATAAATTTTCCTATGATAATTCAAATAAAACTGGTAAATGGATAAATGCTTTAATAAAAGGATAAGAGAAGGCTCAAGGTAAGAGCAATTTATCCAAAACAAGGGGGCATAATGAAAAAAGAGATAAGGAATATCTTTAAGGCATATTATAAGAGAATACAAATCTGAAACTCTGGTAAATGTGGTTTAGCTTTAGAAAGTTTGGAGGAAGGAGGCCGGGTGCGGTGACTCAAGCCTGTAATCCCAGCACTTTGGGAGGCCGAGGCGGGTGGATCACGAGGTCAAGAGATCGAGACCATCCTGGTCAACATGGTGAAACCCCGTCTCTACTAAAAATGCAAAACATTA